AACCTTGTCTTAAAAAAAAAAGGAGAAAAAGCCGGGCATGGTGGTACATGCACTTGGGAGGCAGAGGCAAGTGGATTGCTGTGAATTCCAGGACAGCCTAGGCTGTTATATGGAAAAAAAAAACCTGTCTGGAAAAATGAATGAATGAATGAATAATTTTTTAAAGTTAAAATGGTGAGTTAAAATGGGAGAGTGCTTGCATAGCCCTGGGCTTGATCTCATCACCTAATAAAATGGGGAGCAGTGGTGTACCTTTTGGGGTAGAGGGGAGATATAGCCCTGGCCGTACTAGAACTTACTATATAGACCAGGCCAGCCTTGAACTCACAGAGATCTGCCTGTCCCTGCTTTCCAGGTGCCGGTCCAGTGGTGTTCACTTGTAATGCCAGCACTCAAAAGGCAGAGGCAGGAAAATCAGAAGGCCATGCTTGGCTCAGTGGACAAAAGGCTTTTGCCAGGCAATCTTGGCAACCCCAGTTGGTCCCCGGAGCTCTTGTAAAGGTAGAAGATGAGAACCGACTCCACAAAGTTGTCCTCTGACCTCACACACACTGTGGCATCCAGGCTTCCCCCCAGCACTAATAATAAAGGAGTTCAAGGTCATTCTCAACTAAATATCAAGCTTACAGCCTGGGTTACAAGAAACTGTCTCAGAACAAAACAAAGTACACTTTGTTGAATGTGTATGACTTTTGCATGCCTGTAAAGTGAATGAAAAATAAGTTGAGGCCAGGGTCTCACTGTGTAGCTATGACTGTCCTAGAACTCACTATATAGACCAGGCTGGCCTTGAACTCAGAGATCCACCTGCCTCTGCTTCCTAAATGCTGCGGTTAAAGGCATGTGCTACCTACCGTCCCTGGCACAGCATTCAGGAATCAGCAATAATCCCAGCATTCAGGAGCCAGAGGCAGGAGGATGCCAGGTAGGGCTACATAGTGAGACCTTGTCTGAAAATAATGAAGTAAATTGAAGTATTGTAAGTTGGAAGTTGTCATCCATAGACACACCAAGTATATTTTTCCTTGTTCTGTCACCACATTATACCATGTGTTCCCCTTTGTGTACAATTGTCACTTTTGGTCATTGTAGGAAAGCACATAAACTCTCTTTGAAAAGATAGTGTCTCACTGTGTAACCCTGGCTAGTCAGGAACTCACTGTGTAGATCAGGCTGGACTTGGACTCATCTCACAGAGATCTGCCTGCTTCTTCCTCCCGAGTGCTAGGATTAAAGTCATAAGCCACTGTGCCTGGCTTAGATGAACAACTTCTCCTCCTCCTTTTTCTTCTTCTTTTTTGGTTTTTCAAATCAGGGTTTCTCTGTGTAGTTTTGGAGCCTGTTCTGGAACTTGCTCTGTAGACCAGGCTGGCCTTGAACTCACAGAGATCCATCTGCCTCTGCCTCCCCAGTGCTGGAACTATAGGCGTGTGCTACCAACGCCCAGCTAGATGAACTTCTTAAAGAAGTTAATTTTATTTATTTATTATTATTAATTTATTTTTATGTTTTTTGTTTTTTTGAGACAGGGTTTCTCTGTGGTTTTGGAGGCTGTCCTGGAACTAGCTCTTGTAGACCAGGCTGGTCTCAACCTCACAGAGATCCGCTGCCTCTGCCTCCTGAGTGCTGGGATTAAAGGTGTGCCATCACCGCCCAGCTAAAAAGTTGATTTTATAGTTAAGTTTTATTCGTTTGTTTGTTTGGTGTTTTGAGACTGTAATCCTCTTGCCTCGGCCTTCCAAGGGCTGGGATCATAGTTGTAAGCCATCATACTTGGCCGAAGTAATTGTTGCTTACAATGCTTCACTATGGCTTCCTATTTGGGAGAGTTACACAGTTTCCTTTTTAAACACATTTGAGTAAAAAAGGTAAAGGTGATTTTTCAATGCTAAGTAAATACAGTATAGCACGAGTGCCCCGTGGGGTGGAACTGGAAGGACCAGTGTGTGAGAGGTGATGCAGGGGAAGCCCTGCGACACCCAAAGTAGCAGTGACTACAGCTATGACTATTACTTGCATTATCTTTAAGGAGTGCTAGTTGAAAATTTACTTTGAGTCATCCTGAAATTTAAATATGTATGTATATACGAATGTATGTACATATATATGTATTGTGAGCTGGTTTTTGAGAAAGGGTTGGTTATAGAAAAACTAGAAGGGAAAAAAACATCAAGTTTCTCAATTCTCTGCAAGGGGCTGGGAATCCTTTCAGTTATGGAAATCTCAGAGAAGTTTCTGGAAGGCCCTGAAGGGAAAGAGCTCAGTGATTTCTCTGGTTCTAATGAGGAACCCCAGAAACTGGGGGAATAGACATTCTATGCCACCAGAAAAAGAAGGGTAAAAAGAGGGGTGGAGAAGAGGGGCATTCTGCTCAGGCTTCTTCCTGATCTGAAATATCCGTGGTTCCAAGAATTGCTGTAACAGTTCCCAGAACAGCCTAGAAAGGCCTCGAAGGCTGCCCATAGGGCCAAGAGTAAGGGGGAATGTATGTGTCTCCCAAGAAGCTGCTGCTAAAGGGCCTAGCAGCTAGGACTGGCCATAAAAGCTGAGGAAAGGGCATACCTATCTACAAGCTAGGGTCTCTCATTGCCAGGGCTCTGTGTTTCTTAAGCATACCATAAAAAAAAAAAAAAAAAAAAAAAAAAAAAGATCAGGGGTTAGAAAAGATCAGGGGTTAGAAATGGGATAGACCTCAGCTCATAGTCTCATGCCCCACTGGTTGAAGCTGCATGACTCTTAAGTGAATTATGAAGTACAGTAGAGCTTACTATATATAATGCAGTGTGTACTTACAAAGCAAAGTTTAAATTCCCTGAGCCTTGGCTTTCTGTTTGGAAAAATGAAAGGCACTAGTAATATATCCCACTGGGTTACTATAAGGATTAAATGGAAGAAATCCTGTAAAGTCCTGTCAAAAGGCAGCCTGCCTTCTTAGCATGTACTCCCACATTTGATGTCCAGAAGAAAATAAACCCTACAAACAAACAAATGAACAAAACCTGTCCTGGGGCAGCAGCCCAAAACTTGGGAGCTGTTGCTATGGTACTGAAGCAGACACCCAGAGAGATGTGTGCCTTAGCAAGCACGCTGCCCAGAGGAGCTGCTACCAGTAGCACCAAAGTCTTTGCTTTGTGCCTGCCCTGGTAAAGTAACAGGCAACCAGAAAATGTTAAAACAGTGAATGATTTGGGCTAAGCATGATGGTACATGCTTTTAATCCCAGCACTTGAGAGAGGGAGCAGAGGCAGCTAGGTATCTGTGAATTCAAGGCCTAACTGGTCTACATAATTCCAGCACAGCCAAAACTGTATGTATATGTGTGTGTGTGTGTGTGTGTGTGTGTGTGTGTGTGTGTGTGTATGTGTGTATATATATATATGAAAAACAAAAAGCAAAGCCAGTTTGTCAGTATTGAGCCGTGGCTGGCCTGGAACTCACTATGTAGATCAGGCTGGCCTCAAACTCACAAAGCTGCCTGCCTCTATCTTCCAAGTGTTGGAACTAAAGATGTGTGCCACCATGCCTAGCCAGGCCATAAGGTTTTCTTTTTTTCTTTAATGTTCCCAGGGGCAGATTCCAGGGGAGACTCTGTTGTTGGTCTGGACTCAGAAGGTGACTGAATATGGTCCCTGAGAATTCCATCTGGGTCACAGCCTGCTGGAATGTCAGCAGGGACTCTAGCCCTTGCCTCTACCAAAGTGCAATGGACTCCAAGTTCTACAAGTAGGGTCTGTGTGGAGAAGGGGGTCTAAGGCTCAGCCCAGGGCTGGAGCTAGGGTTCTTCCGCTTTGACTGGCAATGAATGTAAGTGATGCTTCTTGTTCCAACCTTGGGTTAACACATGACTGAGCAGCTAAGTATGCTATTTCCGGCTTCTCTTCAAGTTGGGTTCAGCATGTGACTAAACTGTGAGGAAGCACTGTATGTTCTAGTTTCAGATGGGGGCCTTAAGAATGAGTAGGGAAAATGGGAGTGGTGACAATGCCCGGAATCCCGGCACTCAGGAAGTCCAGGCTGGAGGACCATTTGAGTCCAGGAGTTTGAGATCAGCCTGAGAAACAGAGCCTCTGTCTCAGTAAGGGGGAAAAATATGTCTTTCCACAGGCTGAGATGCAGATATGATGGCAGCTACTAAAGCAGCTATTTGGGGCTTCAGAGTAGAAATGGCATGGAGTGTGACAGAACAGTAAGCTAAAAGTAGCAGGAGCCCCAATACAATAGAGTTGCCATCTGTAATTTAGGATATTTACTCTTGGAGCAAGGACTTTCTACCTGGTTTTGTCTCAGTGTCATTACAGCAGCCCAAAGTCAGACCTCAGCAACTATATACTTGGTTACAACCATCTCATTTGCTCCTCTCCTGAAACTCTGGTCCTGAGATCCACCTTCACCCCAGTGGACCCAGAACCCTGCCCTGGAAGCCAGACTGTTATTGCATGCTTGGATTTGAGCCCTCAGTCACTTAAAACAAATCCTCCCCATGTTTTTCATTTATTGGTTTGGAGAAAGGGTTTCTCTGTGTAGCGCTGGCCATCCTGGAACTCACTCTGTAGATCAGGCTGGCTTAGAACTGAGAGATTTGCCTGCCTCTGTCTTCTAAGTGTTAGGCTTAAAGGTGTGTGCCTCACCACCCAGGCAATATTCTCCATGTTTTAAATCTCCAGTTGTTTGTTTTTTTCATTTTGCAAATGGTATTAATAGTAACATTCTCTTCAAAAAGCATTTTTATATAAATATGATCATATCCTGTTCAAGAATGTATAGGGGCTGGTCACAGTTTGTCTCTGGGGCAGCAAAGCAAAGAAACAAAGCAGGTTTCCATGAAGAGACTACAGAAACACGCACCCCAAAGTATCTGTGAACATTACAGAAAGGCACCAATATCAGGACCTGCTCAGTCTCCAGTCCTACATAACAAGGAAACTAAACTGCCCAAGAGAGGCACTCCATGAACACAGCTAGACACAAAACAGACGACACTACAAAACACACAGGAAAGCTGTTGCTGCTGTGCCTTTTATTGTCACTGTCCCCCAGGGGCACCTGGTTTCTCTCACATTTCTTTATTGGGGTACTAGCCCCCCCATTCTTGCTCCAAATTTTGCTCCAATTTTGCCCTTTTGCTGGGTCTGGAAGAGCTTTTTGGTGTCCCCTCTCCAGAACTTCACTTAGGTAGGAAAGTGTCAAACAGGCCTCCATCCTGCCTTGTCTCCTAATCTCTCCAAGGTCCTGTATCCATTCCTGGGTGTAATGTCCATGGTCTGTCCTCATCTGTGGAGAGGGGAAGCAGGTGGTAGAAGGGGCAGAGAGACCTAGGTTTGAAATCTGGCGTTTCCTACTTATTTTTTCTGTAACCTCAGTGAAGTACTTGACTCTGTCTAGCTTCCGCTTCCCTTTCTGTGAGCCACATTTCTCCCCAATTGGAAAGACTCTATGGGAAACTTCCCCCATTTTGGTCATCAGAGTGGAACTCAGAGTCAAATATGGGTCTCATTCTTGCTGTAAATAACACATTATTTTTTTTTAGTTTACTGGTATGTGAGTGTGCATACATGAGTGTGTACATGTGAGTAGTCTCATGCTTGGGCTTCTGTGGGCATGTGGCGGTCAGAGGATGTTGAGAGCATGGTCCTTGTACTTAACAGAAAAGCACTTAGAGACTGGGCATGTTAGTCACATAGGGGTGTGTCTCCTCCTTGGAGGAGATGAAATCAGATACCTGCATTCCATCCAGAAAGCTGAGAGTGGATTTGTTAACAGCCTGGTGACCTAGGGGCCTCACCCAATTCCCCAGAGTGATTGTCCCAGACTCTTCCCTCCTTAGCCCATTGCCCATCCTTGGGGGAGATTCCCACTCTTCGCTCCTTAGCCCATTGCCCATCCTTGGGGGAGATGTCTCAAGTGCTTTATGGCCTGCTGACATCTATGCTATCGGTCAGAGACCACACTAGATTCTAGGTCTTTTAGCTGGAGAACCCACGACTCAAGGTCACAAGTACTTTGTAAAGGAGTCTCTAGTGAGTCACACCTTAAGCGTCATTGTGCACCTGGAATTGGACTGATTCAACTGACTGTTGCCTGAAAACCTTTCCCCGAGTGTACAGAGTTTTGAATATGCTGACAGTGAACCGCCTGGCATTAGACTCCCCAACGTCTGATCCAGGTAGACAAAGTTGATCTGCTCTGGGTTTTCATTCTCATCTCTTCTCAGCTTCTCTTCCCTGCCTGGATGCCTGCAGCACTCTCCTAAGAGACAGCTTGCAATTGATTCCCCTTTCATCCTGTGGGTCCCAGATACCTAGCACAGGTGTCATGGTGACAGTGAGTGCCTTTACCTGCTGAGCCCTCTCACCAGCCCAGGGCCTACTTTTGATTCCCCACTTCTCACTCAAGAGAGACTTAGACCTGTCACCTTAAGCAAAACCACGTTTACTGGCTCCTCACCTCCAGATCTGCCTCAGCGCCAGGCCTTTTTCCTTTCAGAGTTCTGGAACTTGGTCAGAAGCTTCCTCTCATGCCCACCAGGGCTAGGGCGGTTGGTATTGGCGGCAGCTTCTCTCTTGGTACGCCCTTTCCGACCTCCCCCTACTAGGGGAGCAGGAGACAGGGGCAGAGGAGAGGTATGAGGTTCAGAGGACAGACAGACAAATGCCCGGGGCTAGGGATGGGAAGGGCAGAACAGCCAGAGGGCGGTCGGTGGTCACTGTGAGTTTGGGGCACTCTACCCCTGCTGTTTATGCATGCATAGAATGAGAGACACTTAGAAACGAGTCCTCAGTGTTAGGGCAGACAGAACTCAGTAGATGAGGCTGGATTAGAGTTACTTTGGGATAGGGAATAGATTAGTTAGAGAAGGCAATCTGGGAGAGAAAATCCAAACCCAAGGAGGAGGATAAGAAGTCAAAGAGCTGCCCAGCAGGCCTACCGACGTAAGGATGGGCCAGGCTGTACTGGTCATACTCATCCAGGATGCCATCTTCGTCCTCTGGGTTTAGGGGTTGCTGGGAGGAGCTGGGTTTTGGTGGCAAGGTGGCCATCATGTCTGCTCTGCTTTCTCCAAAGTCTTGCCTGTGTCGTGTTTTCCAACTGTCTGCCCTCTCCCAGTTCCTTCAACCCTACTTATAAAGCTGTCTCCTCCTCAGACCATAGGCTGGCTCCTGCCCTTCAAGTCTTGTCTGATGCAATCTGGCCTTTTTCCAGACTGGGCCCTGAGACGCCAGCCCGGAGCAGAGAGGCACACCCTCCCCTTCCTCCTCCCTCACAAGGCTCACCCAAGCCCAGCTGTGTTTTTCCACGTGGAAGACTCCCGCCTCTTAGGGAGCAGGCAGGATGTGGGCACAATCTTTGGGATGTTGGCCAGGGAGAGCAGAGGGCCTCAGAGGGGTCACTCCTTCCTATTATTTCAACCTCTGCCACAAACCCCGCCTGGGTCTGGGTCATGGCCACACAGTGCCCTCCCCCCACCACTCTAGTCTGGTTCAGACTTAGGACTTGGTGACAACATACACACTGAAAAAGGAGAGAGGAGGGGCAGTGACACGATTCATGCCAGGTCAGCAGTTCCTACCCAGCCACACCCAAGTCGTCTATTTTTACGGAAAGTCCCCTTTCTGTACATCAATAGAGTTCCTAGGGACTTCCCCTCATCCGAGGAGATGGAGGCTAGCTAGCTGGTAGAGACAGCAAACACCCTGGATTCTACACTCTGACCCCTGATCAACCTTCTTCCACCCTTCCTTCTGACTGAGTCCTGCTATACAGCCCAGCCTGGCCCTTGAACTTGTAATTCTCCTGCCTCAGCATCCCAAGTGGTTGGATTACAAACTCAACAAGTCAGCTAAGATCCAATGTCTCCTGTGTGACCCTGGATATGCCACTCTCCCTGTCTGATTGTCCCAGTTTCTCCTTTAACAGAGGATAGCCCAGTTTCTCCTTTAACAGAGGATAGCCCAGTTTCTCCTTTAACAGAGGATAGCCCTATCAACCTTGGTTGGCAAGAGGTTCAAGTAACATAATGTCTGGAAACTTGCAACAGCTGCAAACAGCATAAGGATTAGTCACAGTTTCCCGTGGTTTAGGATTATAGACAGGCATGTGCCACCATGCCAGTCTTAAAACCTTTTTTGTTTTGTTTAAGATTAGATCTTATCACGATGCTCAGGTTAAATAGATATCCTGGGTTGAAATGATCCCCATGCCTCAGCTTCCTGAGGAGCCGTGGCTACTAGTATATGTGTACCATCATTCCGGGTCTTAAGTGGGATTGATAGGAATTAATATGAATTTTAAGTTCAGATAAGAGAAATGTGAAGCCAGGCATTGGTGGAGTACACCGTTAATCCCAGCACTCAGGAGGCAGAGGCAGGCAGATCTCGGGAGTTTGAGATTAGCTTGGTCTATACAGTGAGATCCAGGACAGTCAGGGATATACAGAGAAAGCCTGTCTTGAAAAGCCAAAAGGAAAAAAAAAAAAACATGTGAAATGAAGTTTTGTACTTTTTTTTTTTAATTGAAAAACAAACAAACAAGTTTTCTGGCTGGAGAGATGACTCAGCAGTTAAGATCATTGGCTGCTCTTCCAGAGGACCCAAGTTCAATTCCCAGCATCTACATGGCAGTTCACAACTGTCTGTAACTCCAGTTCCAGTGTCTCTGACACCTTCATGCAGACATAGCATGCAGGCAGAACACCAATGCATATAAGAAACGTGTTTTTAAAGTTTCATACAACGTCTTCTCCTCAAGGGTTCCCTTCCCCAGCTCCTCCCAGCTCCTCCCCACTCACCCAGCTGCATCACTCTTTCTCTCTTTAGGACACAGATAGGTAAACAAAATAATCACAATAACCATGAGAAATATGAATGAAAAATGTTAAAAGGAGGCTGTGACTGCTCCTAAGTATGGTGGAGAAAGCTTATTGTAGATACTCGGGAGAGTACAGCCAGAGGCATCTGGAAGAATCCAGCCAGCAGACTGAACAGGAGCTGTGGGAGAGAGGGGGAGGAAAGGAGGAAGTGAGGAGAGACAGGAGAGGAGGGCTAAGGGAAGAGCCTCAGACCAAGTGGCCAAGAGGCAGAGAGTATCGGGAAACTTGGAGACCAAGAGAGAAAACAGCAAAGAGACTGGTGTAGCCAAATGGCTGGGTTGTATAAGAATCAGAAAGCTGGGAGAGGGAAGCCCAACCTGGGCTGGAGAGTTTAGGGCAGGGCATGGGGCATGCCACACTAGCAATGCTGGGAGAAGCTGGGACAGTGTCTGCTTTGATAGATTAATAGGTACCTCAGCCACTTATGTGTGTGGTGGGGGTTGAGACCTAACAAAATAAACACAAAAATTCGTAAAACACAAAGTTAGAAACTATAATATGCAAGCAAAAGGCTAGTTACACCAAAAAAATCCAAACAAAACAATATGAGGCAAAAAATTCTATAGAAATACCCTTTTGTTGGCTATCTTCTGCTGGACATGGGGCCTACCTACCCTTAACTGTGGTTAAAGTAACCAGTGAGACAATACTGGGGAAAGCTAATTTCTCCTTTGCAAGCAGATGTCAATTTGGTTAGGAGTGGGAGCCTGTGTCCACTTTCCCATCTCAGCACTGGAACCTCATCTGGTTTGGACCTGGGTAGGCCCTGGGCATGCTGCCAGTCTCTCAGTTCATGTGGCATCCGTCCTGTTCTGTCTGGAAGACACTGTTTCTTTAGTCATCCATCCCCTCTGGCCCTTACACCCTTTCCATCTCCTCTTCAGCGTAGCTACCTGAGCCCTGAGGGGAGGGGAGTGTCCTACTCTAGATGGGAGGATCTGACCCCTGTGAGTCATGTTAGCTTAGAAAGGGTGCCCACATCAATTCTCTGTGTTCCTGTCTCCAGGCGGGGAGTTAGACAGACAAAACATTCCACGTCTCAAAACAAAACAAAGCTGGATTCCAGTGAAACCAAACCCTCTCAACCCAGACCAGACATTATCCCTCTGCCGGATTCCACAGACTGTGAGCCTCATAGTTGCATTTCAGTCTCAGTATTACCTGAATTCAATACCCACCCCCCAAGTCTGCTTGATGCTCCCTCCTCTGAACAACAAAACCAGGCATCTGTTCTAGATACTAGTGACATATGCATTCTTTAAAGCCCAAAGCACAGGCCTGGAGAGATGGCTTGTGGGTGAGAGTACTTGCTGCACAAACAAGAAGACTTGAGCTAGGATTCCAGCACCCTAGTAAAAATGCAGGCTTGGCTGTGTATACAGCAGTGACTGCAGCACTGTGGAGTCAGGATGGAGACAGAAAGACTGCTGGGCTTATGGCCTGCCAGCCTAGCTCCAAGCTCAGTGATAGACTCTATTTCAAGGGAATGAGGCATCCTCTGCCACACACCACACACACACACACACACACACACACACACACACACAGCAGAGAGATGCTTCCATCACAGTCACATAAACATATACATAATCACATGAATTGATGGATAGAGGGTAGATGAATGGATGGAAAGACAGACGATACATAGATGGATGGATGGAGAGATAGAAAATGGATGGATGGATAAAGAATAAGTGGATGGATGGATGGATGGAAAGATAGAGGATAGATAGAGTAAATGAAAATGTGAACCTAGGTATAAAAGTAAGAACAGAAGGTTGCTTGAGTCAAAGCAACACTAGTCTAGTTACAGACCTCATGATGAAAGAGAAAAAAGAATGTTATATAGCCTGGCCCTGGTAGCACTGATGAGAAATTTAAGCTACTTAGGAGGTTAAGGCAGGAGGATGGCAAATTCAAAGCCTGCCTGGGCTACAGAGTGAGTTCAAGAGTAGCCTGGGAAACTTGGTGAAACTGTCTCACAATAAAAAGTTAAAAGAAGACTAGGAATGGAACTCAGAGTAAAAAGTTTGCTTAGCATATTTGAGTCTCCAGGCCCAATCCCCAGTATAAAAGCAAGTAGAGAAAACATTGAATGGAGCTGTGGGGTGTGGTGGTGCAGGCTGGAAATCCCAGCATTTGGAGGCTGGAGCAGAAGGATTTCAAAGCCGAGGCTCTGAGAAACATTCTTCTTTCTATCCAAGGTTTGTGAAAATCTTTTGCTCTCCCTTAGCTGATGTAACTCTTTTCATGCAAAGACCTAGTTGTGTCTCAGAACATGACACAGAGTCTTCCTCCATGCTTTCAGATCCTTCATGCTTGACCATAAATTAGCCAGTATTGTCAGATTATGAGGTCAAGTTCCTACCAATGGGATGAGACTAAGTCACCACTTGTGTTAGAATAAAACTTAAGTGAACTTTGTGTTCCACTGTACTTCCTAGCCTGGTTTGGGTCATGACACAGTCTTTCTATAAAAAGAATTTGCTTTTCTGGTTTATGTTTGCTTTGTGTATTTCTTTGTGTGATACTGAGATTATTCTTTTCCAACAAGGCCAGCCTGTGTTACACGGTGTCCCAAATTTCAACATTAAAACAAAGTATACAATAAGCAAAGAAACAAAAGCTGGAGACAAAGGTTTGGAAAATAGTGTTCTTTGGCCTTGCAGGGCTTTATCACCTAACAACAAAATAATTCCTCTACTGGAACGTGGGTTGAAATCAGATTGTAGGGAAAGATACTGCAAATAATCTTACTAGTGATCTGAATGTTCATCAAGAAGCAGGACAGTCAGGATATGGTGCACACAGGCCCACAACTGTCCTTCCTTTCTTTTCCTTTCCTTTCCTTTCCTTTTTTTTTTTTTTTTTTTTTCCAACCCAGAGACTTGCACAGATTTCTGCCACTGTGATATCTCTAGCCCTTTTCTTTTGTGTCCCTTTCCCTCCTCCTTAAGGCAAGAGTCCTCTGGAGTGCTAAGAAGCCCCCTGAGGGGCAGTCCTAGCCCTGCTGAGAGGTAGATGCTACATTCCTTGACTTCTGCCACCAGTCTCCTTGGTGACTTGTCAGAGATCCTTGGGCTCCTGGGCAGCTGGTCAAGGATGTGTACTGCTGTGCTTGAGAGCCATCTCCCTACAGAACAGTCTCCCACACACCATGTGAGCTGCCAACTGCCTAGTTTCAGTTTGCTCCGATGTATATCAGGAGGATGAGAACACTTGGCGTGTGTATGGCAGGGCTTAGCCCGGAGCCAACATGTGACACCCTGTTATTTCCTTATTCCTCAAAGAAGGTAAATAGAGG